CCCCCCAAGTCCTCTCTAAACAATACCTTACATTATAAATATTCTGCTTTTGTGATCTTCAGCCAACCCAATGCACTACTTGTACATGATTCTCAAGATGGTGGTGCTTATAGTTGTCATCTCTTTGTTCTACTTGTCTGAGGTGAGTTCTCTTTTGTGGTTTGATCGGCACTGCTGCTTATCAATTTATATTTGTGCTCTAATATTCTAAAGAAAAAGGCTTTTTTGTGCATATGTGCGCCCACCACAATATTTCATGATGTGTCCTCTCAGTTACATCAGTGAATAGTGGCGGTGTGGGTTGGTATGCACTGTGGTGTGAAATGCACTACCTGGTAATAGAGAGATGAGATCTTTTAATTCATTCAAAAGTCAGCTTAAATCATTTCTGTTTTTAGATTTAAAATATATACAGTTGGGCACAGCCTCTCATAATGCAAAGTTAACAAAATTCTTACTGCAATAGGAAAAAGAATTTTCTGTGCCTTTTTCAACTTGTGCTTTTTTTTATTAACCACAAACTGTGCCCTGAAAATTGTATGTTTGTAAAAAAGAATGTGGCTCCATGCTCTGTTCTGTCCCCATAGAAGCAAAGGAAAAACACCTTTTCTACAGTTTGTAAATATCTTGAAATAAATAACTATTTAGCACACCTCTTTGACTATATGTGTACTTTTTACTCTTTGCTTTTCTACTTTTTCAGGTTTTCTTTGAGAAAGTTTTCCTGACGCGTCCCATTAAGGCACTGTTTGTCACTTCAGATGACTCTTTGCATGAGTGGCGGTTCCGTTGGCAGCTGGACAGATATGTAAGTCATTTTGTTGTGAAAAACAAAGGCTTACACGAAAACTACACATTGATAGTTTTGTTAGTATTTTACTGGACCTTGATGGGGATAAAGCTAATTTAAATCCTCAACAAAGGGCCTGTAAACTTGGGTTGTTTGCATTGTTTTCATGGCTCTCCTTCCACTTGCCTGATTCCGTCACAGACTGGTCTCATTTTTGTCTCTCTTCTCTCTCTTTACTAGGTCAGTCTGGGTCTTAAAAAATGTTAGTTTTTCTTGTGATTTTACTGCTGTAAAATTATTGCATGAGAGAGATTTCTCTCTATAGGCTGGGCTCTTGCTTGGCTAGTCTGTTGTTAACTGGGACGGAGAATCCCCAACTGATGTATCTTTTGTGCAGTTTTTGTTCATGTGCCCTTCATTGATACTTTACTGGCCTATTTTTATACAGAGTGCTGTGTACGGGATGCTGTTTGCCTTTGGCTACAAAGTTTTGAGCCGTTACAAGCTGCTACGTGATGGAGGTCCAGACAACCTACTCTCCAATCCTATCTCATGGCTCATCTGTGTTTTCTCAGTCATTGGCATTGCGGTGAGTTCAGTTTTAGTCACTGATGTACAGGTATTGTGTGGAATTGTGCATATTTGGGTGTAAGTTCTCTTTTATGTTATGTGGTAGGTCTTTTGATGATAATTTGGTGTGATGTTTTTCCCCGCCTATTTCATTTCAGAGTTACTCTTTTCTTTGTCTATTCTCTGTCTTTCCTTCTCTATTCTTGAGGAAACTTAACCATAATCTTGCTGTGCAATTAAAATTTACAGTAAATCGTTAAGTACAGAATTTGCCATAGGCCTATATTTTGTTTTGGTTTGTTTACTGCTCTACTTCTTTTAAGAGTCTCTGTCATTCTATGCTCTTTCCCAGCATTTTGAATGATGACAATTTAGTTTTTGTCATGCACAAGTAGAAAATACAAACTTTTTCCCATAATATTAGTAACAAAATGTGACAATGAAGTAACGACAAATTAATGCCAGCTTAGTGTTGAGACATTTTGCCATTCTGTACTTTTGATGTCTAAGAAAATCTAGTTTCTCTCTCTTTCATTTGTCCGTGTCTCACCTGCTGAAGTAAATTCCAGTCCATATTTCCTTGCATTTCAGAGCTATGCCATATTTTCTGTGCTGTGCAGCAACAAATTTCTGTGCAATGATGTCCATTCATACTTGGTATTTTTACCGGTGAGCATACCCTGATTGTCTTGTATTGTGGTCTCCACGGAGATTCATTAAGTATGCTCTCTTTCCTTTCTTTAACTGTAAATTGTGGAATTGGAAAGTTTTCTCATAAATGTTGACTACTACTACTGGCAGTGAAGTACTATCAACTTGTGAATGTGCTCTTGGTAGAATCAAGTACATGACGCATGCCTTAATTTTTCCTTGTTTACAGGTTATTGGGAAAAAAAATTTAAGCCTAACTTCTTGAATCTTGGATACATGTATTGTGAATAGATTACAGGTCTGGCTAAGCATTTGCTGATTAGACTCAAAGACGTTTAGTTTGCTTTGATGATTTCTCTGGTACAAGCTTATAATGGCCTCGAACATTCTCAGCACATATATTTAATGTGTGATACGAATATCTTTCCTTAGGATCATTGTTATGTTTTGTTTTCTTCCTGCAGATTGTATCATATGTGTTATTGAGAAACACACCAGGCTGTTTGAGGACAAAGTACAGCCCATTTTTTTCCTGGTTTGGGAAAATCTCCTTAGAGGTAGGCCTCTGTGTCTTTGTACCATTTATGAATGACAATTGTCTTAGTTTTGAATATTTTTGCCACAGAGTATCTTTTGGTATAAGAGTCAATTTGTGCTAATTGTATTGGTCATATCTTTTTTATATTTCGTGATGTTCTTACCATTTTGACTCAATGATCGGCCTGTTTCATTTCAGATAGCCTTAATTCATCATTACCGAAAAAGCAGAGATATGATTTGTCAGTGTTTTTTTAAGGGAGGGTATATATCTCTTCTTCTGACACCCTTATTGATCTGTGACAAAACATTGTGTAGTCTGTCTCATTAGTATTCTTTCATTACTAATGCTTAAATGATAATATGCCATCATATTTATCAAATCTTTTGAGACTGCACATTCTAACTCGCGGTTTAAGGTCGTCAGCTGACAAAAAGAAATTTCTGTTACCATCTATGCATTTGAATATCTGAGCCCCAAGATCTGGAATGCTTTGCCAAGTAGTTTAAGAGAGATCAAATCCTTTGATTCATTCAAATGTCAGCTGAAGTCATTTCTGTTTTTAAATTAATAAGATGAATATTTAGAGAGATTTTCCTTTGGTCAGAACACATTTTATGTTACTATTGTATTGTATTGTAAAGGGTTCAGAGCCTGTGTACTTTAATCGGGGTTGAGCTGTATAGATAAATGCACTTTATTATTATTATTATCTAAATGTCTGTGTTCATGACTCATACCTGGCGACAAGGTATTTGAGTTTATTCATCAAATGCATGGCCAGTGTCTCTTTGCTTTCTTCCTTGCCTGATTGCCAAGACTGAAAAAAAAGTCTTCACTGATTTATGGTAATATTTCGTTAACCCTTCTGTGACACAAGGTCAGCTCGTGCTTCACTGGGTACAGTTTTGGATCCCTAGGAACAAAGAGTAGTGCTAGATTAAGTGGTCAGTTGCCTATAATTAGACCTGGTTTGTAAATACTGCTATCTCAAAGGGGAAAGATTTCTTTGTATGGAAAAAGTATACCGAAAATAGAAGCAGTGTGCAGAATACAACTTATGATCAATAGCGTTCTTCATCATGGTCCTGACACTTCGAAAGGCGTGACAAATAATGTACATCACAGCAGTGTCTTGGCTCCTTTGCTGTATAAGAAAAAATGACAAACGGCGTACGTCATATAGGGAACGAAGGGGTTAACATTGTGTCACTTGAGGACTCCTGGTCATGTCATAGTGTATTTCTATGACTTTGTTGTAATGTGTCTTTAATACAGTGTCCCATTACGATTCCTCTTGGTATCAAAGTGTAGGTACCTACATCTGTAACATTATTGTGCTGTTTTCTTCACGTTAGTTATCCAAATATTCTATATGTGGTTTGCAAGCTTTGTTGTATGGTCTGTCTATTTTACCTCCTTGTAGTGTTGCTGAAGTCCTTGGCTGGTCCAGGTGAAATGTGGCGATTATCATTGTTAACTTCACTCAACAAACACAATTCTTAGGCTTGTATCATAACTCCTACTTTTTCTGTCTTTTTCCAGCTCTTCATCTGCCAGTACCACACCTGGATGTCAGCGGACACTCATGGGGTCCTGGTGCTGATCCCCAGCTACCCAGTCCTCAACGTAGTCATCACCTCCTTCATCTTCATCGTGGCGGCCCACGAGGTGCACCAAATCAGCCAGCTGCTTTGTCACTACGCCGTGCCCCAGGAGCTGAAGCTGCTCGTACGGAACATCGTCGTCTTCATCGCTGTCCTCATTCCTTTATGCTATGTCAATGGGCTACTGGCCTTGTAGCATTGGCTTTCACCTAGGCCCGGTTTTTATTTAGAACAGTCATCATTGTAAATTATTTATTATTATGATTATTTTACCTCTTTCTCTGCCAGCGATGGGAGTAGACACTCCTCTCTGTGTGGGTTCCGAACAACATTTTGTGATGAAACAAGGTATGTTTGTTTCACCTTGATTGACTTTGGTACTGTATTAATCATTCATCAAATGATGAGTTTCGTTGTGAAAATATCGATGTGAATCAAAATCATGTTGCTCCCTATTGTCGTGGGTCCAGGTGTGTGGTTAACACTACTGGAAACTTAATGTGATGGACATGTGTGGTGTATGAGACCTAGGAAGCCATACTATTTGCCTTATAAATGTTGTGATTGTGACTTAGGAGATGTGGGTTACCTTCTAAATCACATCAATGATTTGAGATAATTATGATTGTGATGTGGATTGTTTCTGTGCCATGTGAAGACCCCTCCACTCTGACGAAAGATTTCCTATTCAGTGTCACTTAACCTCTTCAACCCTACAATACTGTCACAAGAGTAGCCCTGAATCCCAAATGAAAGTGACATTGCTGTTTAAAATTTTATACACTTTAAAAATTTCAGCCAGAAGTACAGTTTTCAATAAGTGCACCTGCTGACTTCTGGTGACTGCAGAGTTATTTTGATGTCAGCGATGCAAGTATAGAGCACCTATTTGGTGTAGGATTCTAATGATTCAGAGAAAAAGAAATAAAAATGCTTCAAAGTAGCTACAGGATGAGCAGTTGTACCGATGCGGAAATTAAGATTTGATAGATCTGGAAAACCCCTGTATTGTTTTATGGGTATCTTTGCTTCTACACAGTTTTGAATAACAAGAGTAGAGTTGCATCCCTATGTTCTCGGTCCACTTGCTGATGTGGTCATGTCTGTTTCAAGGCTATTAGGCTCGGGATTCCCATGTAGTAGCTAAAACAAAGAAATATGGTGTGTAGTGTGTTGTGCGCAAATGATGAAGTCAGTCTGGCTTCATGAGGGTTTTGCGTGCACTCTGCATTCGCCATAATGACTTCGCAGAGGTAAACTAGGTCTACGGATCAGGTTGTAGCAGAAATTTATCGAGATGCAGACAGTGATAACAAAGATTTCAATTCATCTGAAAATAGTTTTTGTCATAGATCTAATCTCCAAGATGACAGGGATCTCGAATACGAAGATGGAATTTTTAAAAATCTTTCACCTGCCAAATTCTTCTACAGAATACTTATACCTAAAAATGATGAACACCAATGGGTTTTATGTTCATTTCTCTTTTATTCGATATGTACTTTGCTATTTCTAGCCTTTATAGTAAGCAAGCTATAGCCATTCAAAAAGCAGACCGTGTCATACACAGCCACTGTGGAAATTTCCTTAGCACATGCGGTGGACTTATGGTTAGCAGTCAAGGATTTAATATGGGGACTCCCTGTCAAAGAATTTTAAGCTAGTATGCATTCGTGTATTTTTACTGTTGAAAAAAAATTTTCCTCTCTCTAGTTTAATGTACTAGTACTATGCAAAATGTGATATGAACATCCTTTCAGGTTGTGGAAAATGAATGCATCAACGAATGTCATGAGATTGAATTTCCCTTTATTGCATGTACACTGTTAAAAGGACTATTAGTTTGTTTTCTCTCTGGTACTAAGGATTGCTCTTGAGACCCAAAGAATGTTCAGTACATCTTTGTGTTTTGAAAAATATATGGATCAGTCGGTTTTGTTTGTCAAATAAAAGAGAAATGGGGGTGGGGGGGTTGTTGTAGTAAGATATTGAACTAAGAACAGCTTGAAAGGAGTTGTGTTACTGCTTTTTGAATAAGACGACTAGTTTCAAGCTGAATTTTGAATTTGAAATCCTTGCTTTTGACTGTGTGAATCATGGTTCCCCCAACCATATTTATATTTGCTCAGTTTGGTATCTGTCCTGGTCATTTCTTTTGCTTTTCTTAGGTAGAGGGGTCAGAACTGGTGGTTGCTTCTAGATATGATCTATTGTTTTGGTCCTATCATCATTTTCCAACAAATCGTTCCTCACCATTGTTAGATGTATATAGATTTTACTTGCATCATTGTGAGAAAAAGGACCAAGTTTAATCTTTTTGTTTTCATTGTTGCCACATTCTAGTGTGGTTTGGCTGATTTTCTGGTTTGAGTTGGAATTGTTCTTTCTTGGTTATCAGAATAATTTTACCTGTTTGGGTTGTATGAGTTTAAGAAATATTAAGGTTCAAATCTGGTAGACTGGCTTCAGTTTGATATATGTGTGGCTGTCCAGGAAAACCCTTCACATGGGTCACTCTATCACTTTTGAGTTATTTACATATTTGGATTATGCATTCAATTCTGAACATTTTGCTTTTTATTTGACTAGATTATCTTCAATAGATCAAAAGTTATGGCCTTTTATGTGTGGTACCCTCCGAAAAGTCACTTTTGAGAAAACAGCACTTAAAAGTTGGCCTTCAGATTTGAGGCCCCCCCATGTGTTAATGATGTTAGTAAAACACAAAAATTGCATGCAAACCATTCCAAAGCATTTAATTACAACATAGTGGTTAGTTGAAGAGTTAAAACAAGAATTTATGAGGTTGAATCACTTACAGTGGTGCATTCTGCCTGGCATCATTTGAATTTCACTTGACGTGATGAATATAGAATCTATGTTATAAGTTATAGCTTACTTGTTGAAAACAAAGACGGCGTGCATTT